CTCTTTGCTCAAATGAACAGCATTGCTGTGCTGAGCTGTGTGTGAGCCCTGCTGCCCTCTGGAACAGCTGCAAGTGTAGATGGCTCCTTGCAGGATGTTCATACTGGCCCCGTTGATTCAGATAATTTGACTGGAATGCAAAAAGACCTTGCCAAAAGACCAAGACCTGAGGATGGACAGGTACAAGCATGCAGCTTGGCAGTTAGTAGGGATACAGGCCAAGTGCGGGTAGGTGCAACCAACTGTACAGGGAGGGTGGACAGCTGAGAGCAGGAAAGGTTTCTGACGCACTGAGTCAGGAGAGGAGTTTATCCTGTCGTCCTGAAGCTGCAAAAACAAAACGCAGCCCACCCCAAACAAAGAAAACGCCACAAAATCCAAAACAAGCCGAGGATAAACAGGGAAGATACTGTAGAACATTTTTAGTGTCTGTTCGTGCTGCCCATTATGGCTAAGACCAGACACTGGAGGGGTGGAGGAGGCACGGCACTGCTCTCCCGATGTGTACAGGGCTGCAGAGAAGTAGAGCATTGTCCACGTTTGCTGGATGGAATGCGGAGATTAAGGAATAAACTTAGTCACGAGCAGCACCTAGCTTTGTTGCTGGGAAATAGATTGTAAGAGTGGGTGTACAGAGCAACTGAAATACGATATCAAAGGGGTGGTGGATCCTGGAGGATCCAACTACTGAGACAAAGGCTTCCTTCCTGGGGGCTCTCAGCCTCAAGCAGCACCCAGGACTGAGAGCAGCTGTCCAGTCACCCACTGCAGGGACCTGCACAGCTTCTCTCAAGTGCTGAGCTTTCCCAAGCTCTTTGTGACCTGGGGCTTTTCACTGCACAGGACACCACTGGCATGGCTTTCTGGCTCCTGGGGACAAGGCTACACCCAAGTCACTTCTGCCCTGGCTTAGTGGGTTGATAGATGAGCTTCTGTTCTGCGTTGCATCAAATGCATTCCATAAGAAATGTCTTTCTACACTGTGCACTGGTGTGGTGGGTTTGACCCTGGCTGGACGTCAGGTGCCCACCCAGCCACTCCCCCTTTTCAGCTGCACTGGGCAGAGAAAATAACATGGAAAATGACTTGTAGGCTGAGATAAGGCAGTTTACCAAAGCAAAGGCGAAATTTTGTACACGAGCAAGCAAAGAGAAATAAAAGTATTTTGTTCTCTACTTCCCATCTGCAGGCAATGTCCGCCCACATCCTGGGGAGCAGGGCTTCAGCACACGTAGCAGTTGCTTCATAAGACAAACGTCATAAAAAATGGATATTCCCCCCTCCTTCCTCTTTTCTTAGCTGTTATATCTGAGCTGACATCACGTGGTATGGAATATTCCTTTGGTCAGTTTGGGCCAGCTGTCCTAGTTGTGTCCCCTCCCAGGATCTCATCCACCCCCCCGCCTACTGATGGGAGGGGAATGTTGGACAGACAGTGCTGATGCTGTGCCAGTGCCGTTCAGCGGTAGCCAAAAAACATTGGTGTGTTATCAACACCCTTCTAGCTAGCAATGCAAAGAACAGCACTGTGAGGCTGCTATGGGGAAATGAACTGCATCTCAGCCAGACCCAGTACAACTGTGGAGGGCACCTCTCTCCTCACACCCAGTCTGTGAATACAGAAACACATAAAGCCTCTCACACATAAAACTTTTCATGTCTCGGGTGTCAGACAGGCCGTGTTTGAAGAACTCTGTTTACACTCGCAGTGTCTGCCTGCTGTGCTGTGATAGGCACTGCATGCCCACTTTCTGCCTCATTATGTGTGCCTTACCAAGACAAACTCACTCTTGGTGCCACACTCCTAAAGCTAAGAGAATTGTGATTGTTCAGCCTGGACAAGAGACAGCTTTGGAGTGACCTAATTGTGGCCTTCCAGTACCTAAAGGGAGCCTAGAAAAAGATGAGATGGAGCAAGATGATTTACAAGATCACGTAGTGAGAGGACAAGGGGGGATGGCTTCAAACTGAAAGAGAGTAGGTTTAGATAAGATATTAGCAGGAAATTCTGTACTATGAGGGTGGTGAGGCAGGGGAACAGATTGCCCTGAAAAGTTGTGGATGCCTCATCCCTAGAAGTGTTTGAGCCGATGTTGGATGGAGCTCTGAGCAACCTGGTCTAGTGAAAGGTGTCTCTGTCCATGGCAGGGGGGTTGGAACAAGGTGATCTTTAAGGTCCCTTCCAACCCAAGTCATTCTGTGATTCTATTTTTTCCTTTTTGGTAGTCAGTATACACAAGTCTGAAATTTAAGGCCAGAATACCCATCCTCCTAAAGATCCCACCTACAGCTTTATCCCTGGGTGGCTGTGAACTGCTCAGGGACCTGGCAGTGGTTACACAGTTAAGAGACATCTTCAGCAGGGGACAATTGTGCACAGGTGTCTTTCTTCTCTGCCCCTTCCAGCACGGCGTTGAGGAGACGGCAGCAGAATGCAAGAATCTGGGGGCCACTGTTGAAGCCTTCGTGGTGGACTGCAGCAAACGGGAGGAGATCTACAGCGCTGCAGACAAGGTAGGGCAGCAGGGGCATGGACAGGGGCTCACCCAAATGCACTAAATTTCCAGAAGAGTCAGGAAAACTGGAGAAGAGGCATTGCACACAAATCATGCAAGGCCTTGGAACCTCCATGCTCTTTGCTGCTCTCTGTACACAGAGTGATGAGGCACTTCTGAGATAACACCCTTTAGTGAGGCTCCAGGGTATTACTCCTCATTGCCAAGTTTGCTCTGGAGAGTTCCAGCCTCTGGAGAAACACGGACAGCACTGAGGACATATGAAACATTTTATTGTAAAGGTTATGGTCCATCTGGCTCAAAACTGTCTGTACCTCTATAGTCCCAGCTGTGACTACTCAGTCCAAACTGTGTCTGTGTACAGTGTGTGGAAGACAATCAATTTTGGCAGTAATTATTTAAGGGAAAAAAATCGTATCTAAACCACTTCTCATGGTAATACTGCACAGTTTCTTCTGCATCTGGAAAGGCACTATGATCTTCCTCTCCCTCAAGGAGACAATGTTAAGAAATTAATTATTGCTCATCTTCTGCAGCCTTGCATTTTTATTTGTTTTTGTTATAGAATGAATGACAGACACATTTCTGGGCCTTTTTTTTGTCTCCAAAAGGTGAAAAAGGAAATTGGGGATGTGACCATCCTGGTGAACAATGCTGGTGTGATCACAGCTGCCGACCTGCTCTCAACTCAGGACCACCAGATAGAAAGAATGTTTGAAGTCAACATCCTTGCTCACATGTGGGTAAGGGCCACTGCCATCTCCAAACCTCCATTTTTGGGGAGCATTGTTGAGGAGACCTATTTAAAGTAACCCTTATTACCAGCGAATTACCCACATGTCTTTTAGATGTGTACAGCACAGGGACACCCAAGTAGACTGTGTGCTGGGAAACTTGAGCAGCCTCTTGCTGATCTGAGCAGGCTGGTGGCAGCTTCATGTGCAGCATCTGTCAGAGCTGTAGTGGGGCTTACAGAGTGGGAGGGTTTCAGCTGTGAAGTTGCAGGTTTACAAGAGTTTTATTGTACGTGCTGGGGGTGAGACACTCTCAGCAGTGCCAGTGACAACTGAAACTTAAAAAGCATCAGAGGAAAGATGTGAAAGTTAAATCCTGTTTATAGCTGACTTCCTGAAACCTGTGCAGAGCAGGCTGCCAGATGCACCAGCTGATCAGAGAACAGGTATCCCTGTGGCTCTCAGAATGTGAGGTGCTGTGCAGCACCAAGCCTTAGTATCTTAATGACTGATATTCAGGGTCAGTGCTGGATGTGCCCAAGAAAACATTGTTCTTCTCTTCCTTCCCACCCCCTGCATTTTTGTCTCTCGGCTTTGAAGACGACAAGGGCTTTTCTGCCAGCCATGATGAACAACAACTATGGGCACATTGTCACGGTGGCTTCGGCAGCAGGTCATTTTGTGACTTCTTTCATGGTGGCTTATTGGTAAGTGATTTTTAAATCATCTCTCTTCATTTTTGTTTTATTTTTCAATCGTGTCTTCTGCATCATAAATTACCAAGTAACTGGAATAATCCTCCCACTGAATGCAGTACAGACAAATGATTCTGCTAAGGAGGAAGAAAGCACAACAGCTTGAGGATGGCTGGAGGTTCCCACCTATTAGTTATTAACTCTGACTGAATCAGGAGCAATGCTTGTATGAAAGAATAGTATTGTGACACATCAACTAATGAAAGTGTGTTCTATTTTCTCTCCCTTACTGATCCAGACTTTTGCTTAGCGGAACAGGTATCCTCCTCCCTTCTCCTTAGAACGTAGTGATTCTGTGAGTGTTTTTAGTGTTGTCAAGTAAACTTCTAATGAGTAGCTTTTGGTCTTTTTACCTTTGTGGCAGTGACTGTAGTGTACAGAAATACTTCTACCATCATGACATAAAACTGCATTTCTACCTGAAACATGCCAAGAAAATCACAGTACATGCACAGAAAACCTGTTATATTGCATATTGTCATTCTGCGCCACATCTAGCCCTCTATAACAGCAGCTCCAAGTGCAGCAGTCTTCACTTTTCTATTTTCTTTGGATGTGACTTAAACTGGAGGCACACAGCTATTTCTGTGGCAGGTTGTTCCTCGGTTTTGCGTGCATAATTCAAAAGTCACAAACATCTGTTACGAGATGACCCTGTGTGCTATGAGAAACAGTAGAGGGTTAATCTCCATTTCTGCACTCCCCATACTTCTTAATTTTAGAGTTTCAGGCTGCATTCCTTCCAAGAATTTTATTGCATGGGAAAAATGGGACGTCCATCCCTTGGTGCAGATTAGTTACTGTTTTTTCTAAGATTTCCTGATGTTTGTCTGTCTGTTTTGTCTATCTGTTCATGGCCTGTCTGCTTTCCATAATTACTCACCAAAGCAGCAATATTTAATCCAGCACTACAACCTGGCATAGGGGAAGTTAGAATTAGTCCCTGCCCTGTCTCTCAGCTGGATTACATTATTTGGCTTTTTTTTTTGCCTCATAGCCTGTATGATTGTTTAGGCCATTTGCAGTTGTAGGGAGTTAGAAACACTATTTATAACTTCTAATTTGTGCTTTTTCCTCTCCTGCAGCTCGAGCAAGTTTGCTGCAGTTGGATTTCATAAGGCTCTGACAGAGGAGCTGTCTACACTGGGAAAGGATGGAATAAAAACCACGTGCCTTTGTCCTGTTTTCATAAACACTGGATTTGTCAAAAACCCCAGTACCAGGTAACTCAATGCTCTGCCTTCCTGTCCTTCCTTCTTTGCACCAAGGCACTGCATAATATCCCCAGCTTCAGGCCTTCTATTCCAACTGAGTGTATAATAGCAGTGTGTATAATTGTCTAAAGGAGTGTCCTTTAACCCACATAATGGTTGCATTTGAATTCCCTGAGTTTGTGCATACGTGAAGCATCCTTGTGAAGGTTGTACCACCCCTTTCTACCACCACAGCTCTTTTGTGTGTGCTTTCCTTTGCAGGCTTGGAAAGATTTTGGAGATTGAAGAAGTCGTAGAGGCTCTGATGGAAGGAATAGTGACCAACCAGAAAATGGTTTTTGTTCCATCAAATCAGAGGGTTGCTTTACTCCTTGAAAGGTAAGTAGAAAAAAATAAATGTATCAACAATCATCAACTATAATTTGCAGAGTGCACCACCTCCAAACTTGTAAAATCTGATTCAATTATTTTACAACACATCACAAAGTGTGTGTGTGTATTATCACAGTGTTATTACTAATAATGCAGTGGTTCTTCCTAGCGACAACAAAAGATGTCATACACAGTTATTTTTTTAAGCCCTCTCGTAGGTCCTTCTAATCCACTTGCTGCAAGTAACTGTTCTCAGTGGAGAGCTCAACTGCTCTACAGGCCAATAATACAGGAGAGGGAGAATGAGAGAACAATTTTTCTTCACAGATTGCCATTTCCCTTCTGAAAATACCACAGCCTCTGAAACAGCACCCCCAGCGTAGTTCCAGAAAGAGCTGAGGACCTGCTGCTTACTAGTGTTTGTTTCTTCATATCAACACCAAAGATTGAGGCCACTGAGGCAGGAAAATTGCTTTAAAATGTCTCTCCTGCTTAGCTTTGCCATGTAAAGCAAGATTTGTCCTCTCACACATCTTTAATATCCAGTGTAGCTGCTCTGCTGAGGAGGTGCTTTCATCAGAGCTCAGGTTCCAAACCTAGAATTAACATCACAACGACTAAATTAGTTTTCAGTTATCTTCTGCAGTATCTCATGAAACTCTTAGTAATTTATTGTCTGTGAAAGCCAGCAAACTTGGGCCTAACTCTAAATTTCTTTCTATGAGGAAGTGTAAAGATGTTTGGGATTGTTTTTTTTTTTCCTCTCAAGAATTTTCAGATTAACCAGATAACATTTTGAAAGCAAAGAGAAAGAAAATGTATATGTCTACGTTCAATATGAAAAGTTCCTGGATTCTGCAGCAACACTGCAACCAAAATCATGTCCAGTACACACCTGTCCTGTAATTGTCAATAAAAGGAAAGGTGTGGAATTGGAGGTAAAACTAATTGGAGATTGATGAGGACTACATATGCTTTGGAAATAATGCCAAGTTTAAGACTTAGTCCGTGTCTGTGCATGCATTCTGCTCCCAGACCAGCTCTTCCCTCACCTGCAGTGCCACTTATTTCTATCATTTAAGTTTTTCTTATCCCATGCTTAATTTCATGTTATTATCTCTTTCAGGGTGTTTCCAGAACGTGCCCTGAATGTTCTGAAGAAGATGACTGATGTCAAGTTTGATGCAGTCATTGGGCAGAGAAGCACCCAGTGAAAGCCAAGAATCAGTTCTCGTTTCCCAGTGAGTTTCACTCGTTTCCCAGCACGAGTGAAAACAGAACATATGCTGAGGGTAGTTCAGCTGGTTTGATTCAGAACACAGATGGGTGCTTCCAGGCCACTGTTTCCAAGCACACAGCAGGGTTTATCCCACACCTGCAGCAGGAACACACCTGCCTAACACAGAGTGTTAGCAAGCAGAGATGCAGCTCTAGAAGTCTAAAGGACTGCTTTGAACATAAATCACATCGCCTCTGTCTTGTAGTGTTGAGGCAGACAGGAATTCCCACAAAATCTGTGTTTGGGACAGCAATGCTGCCTACTTGAGTGCAAAGGGATTGTCTGAGAATATTTTAATCTGGACTCATCCCTGAGGAATTTATACAGCAGGTGGGTGGCCTGTTTCACCTCAATTTATATTTTTAAATCTACAATGAATTTCACATACTTTTGTAGCAAGTACCTGAACCAATACATGTGTGTATGTCATATAATACCTAATTACATTGATTATCATTTATGAATTAGCACCATCCATATGCCTTTATATGAATAAATACAGTTCTTTAATACAAAGAACACGAAGTGTTTCTCAGCAGTGAAAATCATAAGCACATTCTAGAGGTGCATTTAAGGTGTTGTATCAAATAACACACCTTTCCCTGTATCAGTTCTCACACTGCTCATCTGCAGTTCCCAGACACCTTTAAAACACCTTCCCATGAAAACAGTGCAGTATTTCTCTACAAATTACTGGGTGCTCTCCTGCATTTCATGCATGCGGGAGAATGTGATTTGTTACATGAGAACACAGAACAAGTTGGACTGTTTTTCCTCTTTACATTACAAGGCAATGAATCCAACTAATGAAAATTCTGCAGTCTCTCAGTATTTGTAAGTCCAACTCGTGTTATGAAAGAAAAGAGCAAGGTTATGCTGAGCCAGGAAAGCCTTTGTTTGCATGCAGCAGGTGAGTTTAAGTTGAACTCCACTCATGAAAACTCCTGAATACGTCTCCATTTCGAGTAATTAACATGTCACAGCACAAAGTTAAACCCATACAGGCACTGGATAACACATGTGCCTCCATATGCCTCTTTTCCATCTATGTCTTCCAACATGTGCACCAGACTGAGGGTTTATGTTTTCCACTCCTATGAAATGCTGCCTTGCTACTGGAGAAAATACTGCAGCAACCACATCCCTGTGTAATCTTGGACTTTAATTCCCAGCTGTGCTGTGCCCCTTCCAGGTGCAGGGGAGCAGTGGAGTAGGGACTCTTGGCAGGAGAAGGCACTCCAGGTGCTGGGGGCAAGGCAGGCATCACACCCGTGTGACACCACCCCACTGTTGCCGGGTGAGGACAGCGGAGCAAATGCTGCAACAGTGAAAGACCAGGACAAACACCTGCCAAACACCAAGCCAGGCTGCAGGGATGAGGCAGGTCCCGTGATCGCACCAGGAAGTCACATCAGGATCAGTGAGGTACAGGGCCAGGCATGGCACGCCACCAGCACAGCCTGCACAAGGGCTGGGGCCAAGGCCAGGCCTTAAAGGTGGGTGCCAGGGCAGAGGGTACACAGGGGAAGGCTCCAGGTGAGCCTTCACACAGCTCCTCATCACAAGCCAATGTCCTGATCTGATGGAACCTTCCTTGACCAGGAGGTTAAACCCCCAAAGGTCTTCAGCCTGTGGTACAAGAGAGCAGCACCTGATGAAACACGGGTCAAAGACCCCTTTGGAGCACAGATTATCTGTGCACCTACTTGTGCAACTCCCAATCACTGCAGGGACTTGCTGGCTCGCAGCCATCCAAGGGAGGCCTGAACATTGAACTTTGGCACAGTTGGGATCCATCCATCCTGCTCACCTGAGCATTTCTTGTTGTCCTGTAAACAGGTTCTTCACAAAAGGGAGAGCCCCCAACATCCAGCTCCTCCTGCTCTCAGTTGGCGGGAAGTAAAAGTTTGCGCTGCCATCAGCACAAGCAGTGGCCAAATGTGCAAAATGACACAAAAATAGTTTCCATTTTTTTCATGGAACATTCACGTAACAAGACACTCAGGGTGTGTCGAAGCACAAGTTCCCGGATTTGGATCTTTTGCTTCATAGTGGAGAATTCCCAAGACAGAAAAAGAAAGGAAGGGTAGCAAATTTCAGAGAATTAAAAATTCCAAAAGGTTAAAAGTAAATTAAAGAGTGTAGACATGGTTTGTATTTAAAACCAAGACCCTCCAAATCCCAAATCTGAGAACAGTGATTTAATGTTCTTTTGTCTACTCTGAAAGAAGTTTTCCATTTTGTCCTGCTTTTATTTGAGCTCTTGCTGAGAGAACTGGCCTGTCACAACAGAGAGCCACTTGCTGTTCTATGCATTGCTTGAGTTTCCAAGGCTTTTGCTTTGCATGAAGAAACAAATAGCAAGGAGTAAAGTCTTTATCTCCTGACCACCAGTGACAGAACTGATTGATCAAGCCTCCCAGGCTCCTCAGTTTTCTTTCACAGCAAAAAACTGAAGCTTATCCCAAACTCTGGTTTATTATTGGTGCCCAGCAGGAGCCTGTGTGAGCAAGCTTCATACAGTCACCTACAGCTAAGCACCAGTTTTGAAGAGTGGTACCTCACCACCCTGGCTTAAGGAGTTATTAGGAGTTATGAGTCAGGTTAGTGATTCTGGCCTTATGCTTGTGCCTCCTGCTGAGGTGTCTCTTGAAGTCAATGCTTCTATGCCCCCCTTGCCTCCTCTGCCTTGGCCAGCACTGACTGGAGCCCTGTGCCAGGAAAATGACAGCACTGCTGAGCGGTGCAATTAGGGACTGGCCCAAATGCTGATGTATTAATTAAGCAGGGAATGAATTTCCAAGAGGAAAGGAAGAAGTGCCTAGCTTGGAATGTCTCTGCTGAAGCTGACCCAGTCTCCTGCAGACATGATGAGCAACAGTACAGCTAAAATCACCATGATGTTGGCTAGAGGCCTGTGGAGCTTCTTCCCCAGCTCTTCCAGACGTTCCGCTTTCCAAAAGCACAAGAGAGTAAGGAGCCCACAAGGTTTTTATGTGCCAGGTGCACTATGTACTCCCTGAGCTGCTGCACCCAGCGTGCAGATGCCACTGCTGGGACTGCCCTGCTGGCTGACAAAGGCTCTGTTCCCCAGTGCTGGAAGCATGAAGGTGAACTACTGGTATCATAAACCCTATAGCTCTGTCTGTAAGCTATATGGCCAGACGCCATGCTGGTGCACTGTTTTGCAGTCATGCATACTGCTAAAATGTTAGCCTGCTTCCTGGCACACTTGTGGTCCATAACCATATCTGGCAGCACATGCTCCAGCATATTGTGGGGGGAGTGCACCCCCGGATACAGGGCTGCTGGGCAGGCAGCGTGGGTGAAACCATATGCTTTGCAAGAGAAATGGAAGTTTATGGACACAGAAGCCTTTTGAGGACACCATCCAAATCAACAGTGAATAAAACAAGGGGCAGCTGTGATAGTTTCCCTTTGTCTCACTGTAAATGTCCACTGACTGGTCTGAGGCTCAAGAGACTCATTATTAGGGGGAAAAACAACATTTAACAACAATATTTAATGATCATAATTACCGTCTTCATCATGATAGGTAAAATTTTCAAGAGACACTTAAGTGGCTTCAGCTCATCTCGGCCACATCTAGTCTTACAGAATTTCCAGTGGCGTGGATTAAATCTCCCCACAGCACTGCCACCTGACCTGTTTCTTCAGCAAAGTCTAAGAGTACTTCTTCGAAGACTGGCTCTGCTGCATTTTTCCAAAGTCCTTGAATCCTACTCAGAATGTTAAGAGAATCATCTCAACCTGTGTTTCTTGCCACAAGCCTAAGCCACTTACACGTGAAAATCATGGCTCTGCTCGCACTGAGGCCCCAGCCTCGTGGCGGGGGCAATACTCACAGTGTTATAATGCTTGCAGGTAATGCCAGTATGTATACAAATCTAGGCAATTTTAGGCAGCATTTCAGAACACAGATTTCTAAATGCAGAGAAACTCCTGAATCCTGCAGTTTAATGAAACTGAACTTTTTTATTGTTTCGTGGTTTTTTTCTACCACTCCACTGAAAGTAAGCATCTGAGATCACTGGTAATTCAAGATCTTGCAAAACTGTTTGCAAAAATCCAGTCTGACTCAAATTGTTGGTACCTTCAGCTGTCCAGATTATTTCACACTGCATCCAGTATCTGACCATGCAGGTTTCTCTTTTCCAAGTAGGTAGTTTGCTTTGTTTGAACTCACCACTAAGTTTTACTGCAAAACGACTATCAGAGTTATGAATAAGCTTACATTTATCCAAGAAGCGAGGTGTTAGTAGGAGTAAACTTGCTCTCCTGCAAACTATTTCTCTCCGTGTACTCAGCCTTTTAATGTTCACAGCTGGTAGCTGATCATTTTCAAAGACATCACAATCAAAATGTTTTTCAAGAAACATCAGCACACTAATTAAGAGAGGCTGTTAGTTACAGCTAACACAGCTGTGTTACTCCTGAATACCTCTGAAGAGGACTGTGCAGATACTCTGTAAAGGAGACTCCTTTTATACATGTCAGTTGTAATGGTTGTGACATTAGGAATGAGTGAGTGACAGTCATTTAAAAAGCAACATTTTATGAACATAGTTTACACTCACTGGTCACATGTTCACTCTCTAGATAAAGAATTCCTGACTCACAAGGATTACTTTGTTCCTAATCCACAATCCATATGGTTAATCAGTAACCAATCTAGGCGCAGGAGCAGCTGTAGCTCACTTTGTGCTCTCTCTCCTCGGGAGCAAGAAATAGATAAAAGGAAAGAAATGTGCCAAACAGAGATGTGTTCTCCTTTAGCAGGATGATGTAACTCCATGCATACCCCAGGCCTATAGAAAAGAAAGCAGAAGCACAGATTTTTCAGATAGTTATTTTTCAAGCCATGGACTGTTTCAATTTTGCCTGTCACATACAACACTCGTTTTTACATCTGCAGCCTCAGAAGTCATGAAACTTGGGACGCTCTGTGCACAGTTACATTAAGCACAGATCCTCTCAAATGCTTAAAAACATAATAT